AATATATGAAAGATGGAATTTTTGTCCTTCAATCAGCATACACTAAAAAATTTTAAAGAGCTTCTATGTGGATAAAGCACATCCATTAAGTACGCCGATGGTTGTGAGATTACTCGATATAAATAAAGATCCACTCCGACCTCATGAAAATAATGAAGAGCTTCTTGGTCCTAAAGTACCATATCTTAATGCAATTGGTGCGCTAATATATCTTGCTAATACTACAAGGCATGACATAACTTTTTCAGTTAATGTCTTAGCAAGATATAGCTCTGCTCAAGTAGAAATTGGAATAAAATCAAGCACATATTGCGTTATCTAAGGAGGATTACCGATGTGGGCTTATTTTATGGCAATGATTGCATTACCGATCTTGTTGGTTATGTCGATGTGGAGTATTTATCTGACAAACACAAGGCTTGATCTCAANAAAGTTTTTTATTAGTTTTTTTTTTCATTCTTAGAACTCAAACCTGGTATCTTAATTGAAAAATGGGAAGATCATATCCGTCCAACACAACTCTTAGTGGTAACCCATTATCTACTTTATCCAACTATATATTCATATTATTCTTGTTTAATATTTTCGGTTTCTTTAGTTTCCTCATTATTATATTATCATATTATGTCATTCAGATGACTTTAACAATCGTAATTTTTCATCTAATATGTCAAGTTCTATAATTTATTGTTCAGCATATATAATAGAAAATACGAAGGGGAGCCTTGGCTTAACTAGTAAAATTGCTATCATGTGATCAAGAGGTTACAGGTTCGAGCCGTAAAAACAGTCTTTTGCAGAAATGCAGAGTAAGGCAACTACAATAGAGTCTTGTGGTTCGATCCTTCCCCAAAACTCGCAAATAAAGAGAGCTTAATGTACAATGCCCGTAATAGAAAATACCAGCTCACAGAATTTTTCTTGCCTTGGTGGAAAAAGGAGCAAGTTGACTTAAGGTCGTTTATTTTAACCTGTATAAAACTAATCCTAACATAAAGTTCCACATAAGTTACATAGTATTTGATTACTATTCTTGTTTAATATTCTAGGTTTCTTTTGTTTTTTCGTTATTATATTATTATATTATGTTATTCAAATGACCTAAGTAATCGTAATTTTTCATCTAATGTGTCGAGTTTTATAATTTGTTACGTCACAATGTTAGAAAATACCAGCTGCCAGAATTTTCTTGCCCTGGTGAAAAAGGAGCTAGTTGACTTAAGGATTGTTTGTTTTAACCTGTATAAAATTAATCCTAACATAGAGTTTCATATAAATTATATAATATTTGATTGGCCGTACAAGAAACAATAATCATCACATAAGTCAATTTTACGTCGTGATACCCTTATTAACTACCTGTTAATAAGAATGATTGTATTAGCAATAAATAGATAAAAGTAACTAAAGATATAAAAGAAGAAAAGGTTCGTAAAGTAAGAAATCCCACATAACAATTCATTCACCATATAAATAATATTTGTATTTTCTCTCATGACTGAGACCACTTGACCGATCTCATCCACTTAAAAATTGGTGTAAAAGTTGCTAATTCGACTTTCTAATAGACTTGTTAGTTTCGCAGCTCGGGGAGAAAATTCCATAATTCAATTCAAGATAGAAGGGAGAATGCCGCCGACAAAGATGAAGTCTACCAATCTCTCCTTTTTTTTATTCCATCAAAGGCCAGTTCTAATTTCTCCTTCGAAATTTCATACATAAGCCTTTTATAAAGCAGGCTCCGGTGGATCCCCTGGTTCTCTATTTGCTTAAGGTGGTCCAAGTACGTATCCAACGAGAATGCCCTTACGTCAACCAAATGATCTACTAGTAAATTGGGAGTAACTTTTTTTGCTGACAGTAATTAAGCAATTGGGTGGGACATTATTATTAAAGAAAAGAAGTTGAACAGAATATATGATTTACTTGACAAGTTCCATCAAGGCTGAGTCAGAATGGGCCCAGTTCTCTGACAATTGGGCCTTCAGAAAGATGCTACTTACAAGTTAGGATTTGTCCAAGATTAAGGCGATGGTCTCAGAAATGGGCCCATCCCAACTCACTTGCCTGCAAGTTCTGTGATGCTTCGAACATTTTCAAACTTTTTCCCTTTTTTTAATTTTTTTTTTTAAAAATTATTCAAAGCCACCCTTGGGTTGGGGGGTTTGGCATGACCCTACCATATAGATTACTCCCTCTGTTCCAATTTAAATAAGCCTGTTTGACTGGGCACGGAGTTTAAGAAAAATTGAACACTTTTGAAATTTGTGATCCTAAACAAGTTAAAATGGGGTCCAGAATATTTGTGTGACTATAAAAACTTCTCATTAAGAGTAGAATTGAAAGTTTAAGCTAAATTGTTTCCATATTTAGAAAGAGATCATTCTTTTTGGAACGGACAAAAAAAAATCACATAAAATGGAATGGAGTAATAACCAAAAGGGGAATACATGAACAAGAGGTAGAAAATGCCTAACCTCTTCAAAAATTTCTACGACAATGGACAGACCCATTGCTATACATTTAGCTATCCAAGAGATACTCTTGGAGTCTTCACAAAAATAATAGCCATAAGACTACTGTTTTGTGGAGAGTGTAACTCTCAAGATCATTCTTAATTAGTCTAAGATTGCAGACAAAGCTACGTAAGATAAACCTCATCTAACAAGGTAAGTTCAGAATGTTTTTTGGCCCTAATCCTAAAATTAGGGAATCCTCATTTGTCCATGTTAATCAGGCCCTTAAATTTTCTGGGAAGATCATTAAAGGAAGAGTAAATTAATTCATTTTGCTGTGTATGACTCATTGTAGCAAGGGTGTCCGCCACTTGATTAGCTTCTCCATAGCAATGTTGAATAGTCCAAGTAGTGGTTCCCAGGGCTCTTCTAATATCTTTGACTATAGTAGCTAGATTTCATGGGATTTTGTAGACATCCTTAATCTAATATATGAGAAGTATTTGAGTCACTTTCCAGTTCCAAACTTAGTATGACCATGTTGCATGCACAACTAAATTCCAAAAAGCAAGGCCTTGGCTTCGGCTTCATTGCTAGTTCCTATTCCAAATGGGACAGAATAAGCCATGATCATTCTTCCTTGAGCATCTCTAACTAGTCCTCCTCCTCCACAAATGCTATTTTTATGACCATTGTCACTGTTTAGTTTGAAAAATCTACTTGCAGGTTTGTTCCAATAGACGGTCCTGCACAGTTTAAAAGCCATTTTCTTGTCTGCAATAGAGATTAATTCAAGCCATGAAAGATCATATTTAAAGTTTAAAAAATGAAGCCTAACAATAATAAGAATAGTTTAAGAAATTTGAAAAAGTAATATGGGAAGAAAAGGTTTGCGATTACCATATCTACTACTGCACCTAGCTTTCCAAAGTTCCCAAATAATAATAATAGGAATATTTTTTGTCAAGAAAGCAGAAGCAGGATTGCATGAGGCAAAATTCCACCAGGAAGTAAGTGCGTGTTGAACAGAGTGAAATTTCCCAGAGATACCAAAGAAATCTCTAAAGTGTTTCCACACTGACTTGGCAAAGTAACCATTGACAAACACATGATGAATCGATTCAGGTTGAGGAGCCCTGCAACAATGACACCTAAAGCGACCTGTATTGCTAAATCTAGAGACACTATCATCAGTAGGAATTTTACTAAGTAAAATCCTCCATGAGATGAATGGCATCTTAAAGGGCAGAGCTTTATACCAAAGCTTGTCTAATAAATGATTCTCCTTTCTATTTTTTCTCATCATGTTCCATGCATTCCTCACAGAAAAAAAGGCCTGAATTAGTCCCCATCCAAATAGGCATGTCCTCTTCATCATTCAAATCAATCTACATCTTAGGAATGTGATCTTACATAAAATCATTAATACCCACACAAACATCCCAGCTCCAAACATGTCCATTGAAAACATCCTTGATGCATATTCTCCCAAGAGTAAAGTTGGAGGGGAGGAGCTTATGGAAAGGACCTAGAGAGGTCCAGTGGTCATACAAATTAAAAAGATACCATTTCCGATGAGCCAAAATATATTCTTCTCAACAATATCCTTATATCACACATGGCTTTCCAATTGTGGGATGGGTCCTTTCTCCATTTAACTCTAACCAAGTGAGATTTCTAACCATAGTTAGCTCTCATGAATTGAGACCACAGAGAATCCATAGTCCTAAACCTCCACCATTGTTTGGCAGTGAATGCCTTGCTAACATTAGTAAGTTTCTTAAAATTAGCCCGCCTTCACTAAAAGGGTAAGAGAGATTGTCCCATGATGACCAATGGTACCTTTTGGAGCCATCAGTACCACTCTAGAAGAATCTATTAAGCTCATTCTCAATAGTCCAAAAAACAGTAAGAGGGGGATTCATAACAAATAATAAATGAGAAGGCATGGCTTGAAGCACATGTTTGATAAGGATACTTTTACCTCTAGCTGAGAGGAATTTATTATTTCGTACTCTAGTCCTTGCTAGAATCTTTTCAATCATGCCCGAGTATGTTAATATTCTCTTCCTACCCAAATATATGGGGCATCTAAGATATTTAGAAGGAGAGTTTTCCTTCTTCATTCCAGTCAACCTAGTAGCTCTGTCTATCCTTCTTGAGCTTGCATTGAGATGTAATATGATAGAACTTTTTTGCTTGTTTATTCTCTATCCAGAAACATCCTCATAAGTCCCTAAAGCTCTCATGATCCTCTTCAATGATTTTCTGTTATCACTGTTGAACAAAATAATGTCATCTGCAACACAAAGGTGATTAGTTTTTGGACCTCTTCTAGATATATAGAAGTTCCTAAAATTATAGTCATCATGAAGTTTATTCAACATAATAGAAAGAAGTTCTACACCAAGAACAAAAAGTGATGGGGATATGGGGTCTCCCTGTCTGAGACCATTAGAAGATTTAAAAAAACCATATCTACCATCATTTTTACTAGAGAATACCAGTTATTAGAAATAAATCTATAAATAAGATCCACCCAATTCTCATCAAAGCCCAATCTTCTAAGCACAGCACAGAAGTAAAGCCAAGAGACCTTATCATAAGCTTTGTCCATATCATGTTTGATAACCAAGTTGCCACCCTTATTAGGTTTACCCATATCATTAATGATCTCTTGAACTAGAAGAATACTCTAAAAAATCATTCTCCCTTTAATGAAACCACTTTGGTTCTAAGAGATAATCCTTGGGAGAATGGAAGAGATTTTGGAATTGATAAGTTTAGAAATTAATTTAGTAGTAACATTGCACAAGCTTATAGGTCTGAGGTAAGAGAAAACCTGTGGGTGATCTACTTTAGGTATCATAACAAGGTATGTATGGGTAAAAAATCTAGGTAAGTCAACACCACCAAATACACTCTGAATAGCATTTGCCAAATCATAACAGATAACATCCCATGTTACTTGGAAATTTTTTTCATTGAAACCATCAGGACCTAGGGAGCTATCAGGATCTATAGCCATATCAGCATCTTTGATTTGATCCATAGTGGGGGATAGAATTAAGAGAAAGATTATCTATATCAGTCACCAGAGGAGTTATGCGGTCATAAATAGGATGATCAACATCTCCTTCAGTGGAGCAGAAAAGATCTTGATAGTGTTGGATCCTGGCATTAGCAATCTCCTATTTGCCAAGCACCCAAATACCATCATCATTCATAATTTGTTGAATGTTGAATTTCTTCCTTCTGCCTTTGATGGTGTTGTGAAAGTAGGCAGAATTTGCATCTCCTTCAGCCAACCATCTAACTTTAGCCTTCTGCTTCAAAAAAGAATCCTTTCTCTTTAGAACCTAAATATATTGAGCATTTGTCAGATTCAAAGAGATCTATTTGATTTGGAGGTATCATCGATCAACTTTTGTTCCAAATCCTTGATCTTAGCTTCCATTTTGTCAACTTCTTCAAAGATATCACCAAAAAGTAGTTCTGGACCAAGTACTGAGACTCTTAGAGGTTCTTTTTAATTTTTGGTGAAGAATCCACATTGGATTTCCATAAATGTTCTCCTCCCAAGCTTGTTGGATAACACTGAGGAAATCCTTGTGTTCGACCCATAAGTTCAAGAACTTGAAGAATTTAATAGGCGTAGAGTCTTCCTTATCCAGATTAATCAACAGAGAAGAACGATCTGAACCTATACTAGGAAGGTGGTTAACAGTAGTGTAATCAAAGCAGAGAAACCATTCAACATTAATAAGCACTCTGTCCAGTCTCTTCCAAATAGATATAGGCCCCCTATTGTCACACCAGGTAAAAGGGGAGCCAAAATAGCCTGCATCTTGAAGTCCAGAGTCCTCCATGTAGTTAATAAAGTCAAAACTATGGGTAATATTGAAAGGTCTCCCTCTTTTTTCTTTTCAGCACAAGTTATCACTTTAAAATCACTAAAGACAGTCCAGGGACAATTAATATTTTTGGACAACAACTCAATAGAATCCCATAGATTTTTTCTAAGATTGCTATCACATTTAGCATATATAGCAGATATATAAGCCAGCTCTACGCTGTACAGACCCTTTATACTTGCTGAGACCAATTGATCAGAGTCTGTAATGATACTTATATCATAAATATTATCCCAAAGAAGCCAAATCTTGTTATTGATATTACAATAACAGTGATCCATCCCAGGAGGATCCTATATTTATTAGCTAAGTCAACCTGAAGGGGTTCCTGTAAAATAGGTTCTTGAAGAATGATAATGGACATTTTATATTTTGATTTGAGGGTCTTCAATATTTCAAAAGCCCACATAGTCCTTATCCCTCTAATATTCCAAGAGAGGATACTAATCATTGAAAATATTTGATGTGATATTTTTGTTGAGCCAAAATTTCTCTAGTCTTTATAGGAGAGAAATTTTCTTTCATGATTTCTTGACTTTTGGATCCTCTTGGGAATAAATTGCTACAATCCTCCTTCTGATGAGTGGATAAATTGTAGATCCATCTTCTAGCATTCTCATCATCGGATTTCGCACTATCTGAGAGGACGTCCTCTTGTGACCTATTGTCTCTTGAGGCATAGTCTTCTTCTTCCTCATGGTCAGAAGAATCACCTGGGTCCTCTTCATCATCATCCACCCCTTCTACTTGTTAAGCATTAAAAGTATTGCCCAAATCAATGGTAACAGTCCCTCCCAAAAAGTTTCATTCAGGTTGGAGCTTTCTACAAAAAATCTTTTCTGGACCCAACCCTATCAAACATCTGAAAATTGTTAGGAAAATAATAGTTATTTTCCTTATTCAATTCTTTGTCACAAAGCATTGGGGCCTCCTTACTCTTATCATTACCCATATTAGAATTGATAGGGATACCATGATTATTATTTTTGATAACTTTTTACACCTGTTTCACAACCTTATTTGGTTGTTCTTTGGATTCTGAGTAGTTTATTTCTGAGGGACAGTTTTACGAGGGACTTGTTTTTGGTGAATCAGATTAGGAATAGGGTTACTAGCCACCTCTTGATTCTTTTCCTAGTGAATCTGCATTGGTGCCTTCTCTTTACCCTTACCTTTATTTTTCTCATTGTATGTGCAATCGTGAATAGAGTGTCCTTGGTGCTTGCATTGTAAACTATATTTTGGGATACCTTCATATTTACTAGGGTGGTCATAACCTCCCAAAGGATTGCCTTTTTAATTAAGAGTACCTACCCAAACAGATGAGGGTAAGGTCCTTTTTTCGACTCTAACTTTTGCTAGATGAGGTCTGGTGCGATTGTTCGTAGCTTGATCAATTTGTAAAGGTGTTCCCACTGTGCTCAAAACCTGTTCAAGATAATTTATATCATGTATGTGCCAGGGGAATTGAGGCAACAATGCCCACATCAGAGCTAGAGGGGTTTTCTCCTCCGCTCTGAAATTCAGAGTCTATTTAAAGATTCTCCTCAGATAACCTCCAATATTCATCATTCTTCTAAAGTAGGTCGTACTACAATCCTCTTTGCAGGTAAAATCAATGAAAACATGTCCGTAATAAAAAATCCCTATCTTTACCTGTCCCATAATAAAAAATTGAGCTTTGAAATCTTACATGATTTTCTCTAATTTTGGTCTCCCAGATGACAATTTTCCCACCTAGGTGAGCCTGTATTTATCTGCCATCGGGCCAAAATAGTCGCTAGCTTTGAAGAAGATAGTTGGTTTGCAATTGAAGGTAGTAATTTTTGTGAAAACCTTCGGAGATCATGAACTCTATTTAGGAGCAGAGGATAGATAGGACATATAGGATCCTACTAGGTGATTAGACGAGCTAGGGATATTAGGGATATTTGGTGGAACCACCGTCGCCAACTGAGGGCCAGCCGATGAGGACATCAGAGAAGGTGAGTAACGGTAACAATTTTAGGAGCGTTTGAGGAGATAGGGCATCTTCTCAGGCATCTCCAACCTTCACTCCAAGTCTTTACTCCAAAATGGAGTAAATTAGCTCCAAACCATTACTCTATTTTTTACTATAAAAAAAAATATTTTTTTTATATTTTTTTTCTTTTTTATATTATATTATTATCTTTTATTTAAATTTTATTTTTTATTTCCATTAAACAAAACTGTCACGACCCTAAAACCGATCCGGTCGTGATGACGCCTATCGTGAAACTAGGCCAGTTGACACAACTCGCAAATTAACCATTTATCAATATAATCATTTTTAAAGCTTTTAATTGATCAGGTATCTCATAATGTAAGTTTAAATGAACAGTGTGGAATAAATACACAAGCCCGACATCGGGGTGTCACAAGTCACGAGCATCTACTAAGGTCTGAATACAACAAGGAGTCTAAGAATGTACTAAATACACTCTAAGGAAGACAAGAGAGAGAAAAGTCGTACTGCGAACGTCAAGCAGCTACCTCGCTAACTCCGATGACTTTGCCACTGAGCAATCAACACCCGCAACCGGGTTCAGAAATCCCTAAATCTGCACACAAGGTGCATGGAGTAATGTGAGAACGCCAACTCAATAAGTAATAAAAGTAAATAAAAGCTGAGCAGTAAGAAAACACTTAAACCACGTCAAATCGCTACAACAATTGCAGGACATTTCCAACACAGTACAGAAATCGTTTAATTCAAAAATCATGCTCAGTTTCGGAAAAACCTTTTAAAACAACTTTCAATAGTTTCAAACGAGTGATAAAACAATGAGTAAAAATGATAGCAAACATAAACAGCCCTTCGGGCAAAACATGTATCATAAACAGCCCTTCGGGCAAAACATGTATCATAAACTGCCCCTCGGGCATAACATCAACAAAACCAGCCCCTCGAGCTACCTCACAATCACTCGTAATCAGCCCCTCGGGGCAACAATATGAATCAACAATAGGCCCTCGGGCAACATTATAAATCAACAACAGCCCCTCGGGCTACATCACATCACTCACAGTAGGTACCCGCGGTCACTGGGGTTTACAAACTCCAGGAAGGTCCCCTTACGGCCCAAGTGCAATAACAAGCCATCTCATGGCATAATCAAACAGGCACTCGGCCTTATAACAAGCCACCTTGTGGCATAACAAATCCGGCCCTCGGCCTCAAAATCATGAATCAGTATAATATCGCTGCGATGTGCAGCCCGATCCAATCATAACCTCACAACACAGGCCCTCGGCCTCACTCAGTCAGAAATCTCTCAAAGCCACTCAGGCACAGTAAAATATGATGCTCAGCCCAAAATATCATTTAAAATGTCAAAACAGAGTAAATATGGTTGAGTTATGAAAACACTAGAATACACTATGACTGAGTACAAATATGAAGTCAAAACAGTGAGGAATAATAGTAAAAATCCCCTAAGGGTCCAAAACAGTTGGCACAGAGCCCAAATATGGCATTCAGCCCAAAACATAGTAATAATTTCCAAAACACAATGATATCAAACAGTTTTCAATCAAATATGCAGTTTAACAGTCATACGGGACGGACTAAGTCACAATCCCCAATGGTACACGACCCCACGCTCGTCATCTAGCGTGTGCGTCACCTCAAAGTAGCACAACGATGTGAAATCCGGGATTTCATACCCTCAGGACAAACATTTACAATCATTACTTATCTCAATCCGGTCCAAACTCTAGCCCGCGATGCCCTTGCCTCTCGACTCGGTCTCCAAATGCTCCAAATCTAACCAAATACAGATTTATACTATCAAAATATGCTAAGGGAACAAAGCCCACTTGAAAATAATCAATTTACATCAAAATCCCGAAATTGGCCAAACTTGACCCCCGGGCCCATGTCTCAGAATCTGATAAAAATCATACCAATAGAATCCTTATTCCGCCACGAGTTCATTCATATAAAAAGTGCCAAAATTGGACCTCAAATGACCCCTCAAATAACCACTCAAAGCTCTCCAATTAACCAAGCCCTAACCCCCAATTCACCCCTGATTTTCCTTAAATTTTCATGGTAACAACGATAAAAATCACCATAATATTGAGCTTAGGAACCAAGGACCTTACCTTAATGAATCCCTCTGAAAATCTCCCTTGAAATTGCTCCCAAAAGCTACTTCCCGAATGAAATATTGAGAAAATGGCCAAAAATCTCGAAGGGTGAAATTTATAGTTTCTAACCTAGCAAAATTGCACCTGCGGTTAAATGGTCGCACCTACGGACCCGTGCCTGCGGTCCCAGGTGCGCACCTGCGAGATTCACTTAAAACTCCAAGGCCGCATCTGCACAAAGAAATCCGCACCTGCACAATCGCAGGTGCGACCAGGACCTCACTTCTGTGGTCTCAGCCTGGCCCTCTCCTGGCCGCTTCTGTGGCTCCAAAATCTGCTTCTGCGAGTCCGCACCTGCGGTCCCCTAGCCGCTGGTACGGTTATGACAGCAACAAAAAACTTCAGCTGCCACACCCAACTCAAATCACCCCGAGGCCCCCAGGACCTCAACAAAAAGCACGAACAAGTCTTATACCACTATCCAAACTTATGCCAATTCAAAACACCTCAAACAATATCGAATCAACCAAATAACATCGGATTCAAGCCTAAGGTTCCAAGAATCTTTCAAATTCCGCTTTCGATCAAAAAGTCTATCAAACCTCGTCCGAATGATCTAAAAGTTTGTACACACATCACAAAACAACGGACCTACTCCAACTTTCGGAATTCCGTTCCGATCCCTATATCAAAATTTCACCTATCAACCAAAAAACGCCAAAATTCCAATTTCGCAGATTCAAGCCTAAATCTACTTCGAACCTCCAAAACACATTCCGATCACGCTCCTAAGTCCTAAATCGCCTAATGGAGCTAACCAAATCATAAAAATTCAAATTTGAGATCATATACTAACAAGTCAAAATTTGGTCAAACCTTTCAAATTTTAAGCTTCAAACTGAGAATTGTCCTTCCAAATCCATTCTGATTACCCTGAAAACCAAAACCGACGATTTGCATAAGTCATAATACATCACACGGGTCTAGTCATGCCCGAGAACTGGTGAGTAAAGTGCAAAAGCTCAAAACGATCAGTCAGGTCGTTACATCCTCCCCCACTTAAATATACGTTCGTACTCGAACATGCCCAGAGTTGTTCCGAAAATCATCAAATCACTGTGAAACCTTACCATGCACATACCCAGGGGTGATCCTATGTCACCCTATCTCATATAGGTTCGATAGTACAATGTAACTGAAATTTCGCAATCCAACCTAGCCCATAAACCTTAGAACCACATTTCCACTTCTGAAGTCATCTACAAGATTAGAATCTCACATTTATACTCTGAATAAGCCCGAACAAGCTGTAATAAACCATACCTGCAACCTCAGATGCAATTACGTGATATACCACATAACTCAACACTCGTAGCGATAACTTTTAATCACAGTAGTTGCTCAAAACATCCGAATTCTGATAATAAGCCTTTTATCAAATAAAGCCTCATTCCAACACTTTGGTATACTGCCAATGATAAATGAAACACGTAGAAAGTCATAGCCACTCATCAGATCAACCATTTGTGAAGCCACTTCTCTTTTGGCAAGGACCATGGAAATTTCTAAACCGAACATCAATATTATCCTTCCAGCATGCTAAAATCAAATCCGTTTGTATTCATTATAGATCCCAACGATCTCATCTAATCCAACACCACTACTCTGGTTACATGACACATCAATACAAACTAAAGCCACAACTCGTGCAATCCGCACACCAATAAGCAAAAATCCGAACATACTCAAATCATGGAAATGACTCAAATGAGTGAGCCGTATCGCAAGCTCACCAGTACCACCACAACACAATGCTGGGAACCCGTCACACATCGTAGAAACAGAACACATGAATCTAACCCGAAGAGTCATACCTCTACATAACTTCGCTGCAATATGCGACCCTATCCAATCACTGGTCCACATGAAACACCTCAAGTCTCTATGCTCAAAATTGACAACCGCGCGCAATTTGATGTCTAAAACCAAAGCAAATCATCATAACCACGACGAAGAAATTGACATAACATTACACAAACCCGAAAGGACACAACCAATATGCCATCCGCCGAGAAATAAACAATACTCTTCCCGCTCGAATTCTACTGAGAGACCCCAATAAAACCGCAGCATGTGTGCCTATAACCAATAAATCCTAACACCTCACAATACGAAAAGGTAACTCATAGATCTCCTCAGATCACTAATAAGCTCAATAATAATCAAATCAACACATTCCTCAACAATACCACTCGGAGTCAACCAAGCCGACTCGAGTTAGAACACACATCCATATTGTCCTACCAATGAACCCCTTGTCAAGGAGTTCCTGAAGCTGCTCTTTTAACTCCTTTAACTCCGTCGGTGCCATACGATACGGTGCCCAACACCAAATCAATATCGAAATCAACAACCCTGTCCGGTGACATGTCCGGCAGCAGGAAACACATCCAAAAAATCCCTCACCACCGGAACTGAATCAATGGTAGAAGTCTCTGCACTGACATCCATCACGAAGGCCAAATAAGAAAGACAACCTTTCCCAGCCATCCGCTGGGTCTTCAAAAATGAAACCACCCTACTGGGTACATAATCCGCCGAACCTCGCCACTCAATCCGTGGCATCCCCGGCATAGCCAACGCCGCCGCCTTAGCACAACAACCCAGAATAACACGACACGGAGACAACCAGTCCATACCTAATATCACACAAAAATCTAGCATACTAAGCAATAAGGATCCACTCGGGTTTCCGAACCTCCAATAGTTACCACACAAGATCGATATACGCGGTCCACAACTATGACCTAACCTGTTTATGAGAACTCCCAGTCTCCAAATCCATACAGCACGCGAATCACCATATCCGATCTCACTCCATCGTCCGAATATACAATACACCTCTAATATCCAATCATATCACGAGAGGTAGTCCTATAATTCTTC